GTAAGTTTGATCTTTCAAATTTCAAACTAATATTTTCCGGCCCAAAGAAAAAAAAAAGAGTTTCTTGTAAGTCCTTTTGCCCCCAACATCGTATCTGAATGCTATCAGAATAAAAATTTGAAAAGAAAATACACATGTCATAGAATGTTTGATTACAAGAATTCAAAAATCAAAAATAGGATAAATTAAACTCCTTACCAAAAATGTTAACTATATCTGAACAACACATATATAAAAAATGTGTTTTAGTTTCTAAATTTTGATATTAAATTAAAAATAAAGAAAAAATACTTAAGTAAAAGAAAAATATACAACTGGAGGGTGGTGTTAACAAAGTGTAGCATTGTTGAGACATAGAATCCAGCTACGATACAATAAGTGAGAAGAAGTGGACCTAGTGGTTCCTGAGAATGACAACATTTGCATTATTGTTGTTTATGTTACAAGAGCTACAATAAGACAATAGAGCAGTGGTTTAAAATTTGAGCTAATATGGGTAAATGGCAACCACCGCTGTAGGTTTTGATTATGGGAGTGATAAATGCTGTTGTGTTGACGGTGGATGTAACGGTTGCAGTAGTTAATTAGGCACATAATTGACGTTGATCTTAGGTATAATAATAAATGTGTCACTGTGCTCTCCCAGCTGTTGCACTTAGAAAAAGGTTGTCGGAATCTTAGGTTGAAGAGGTGCAATGTTGCTTCTTTATTGTTCTTTGCTTACTTCTTCTTTCAAGGCTTTTGTCCTCTTCTCTCTTCTGGTAGATGCAACCTACTTATTACGCTGTTACATTTATCTTCCCTGAATCACGCTCCATACTTATTTTCTCAATAAAAAACATCACGGACTTTCCACGACCACCTCCACAAACCCACATGAAACCTCGCTTTTCTTTTCGTTATATTACTGTAATTTTCTTTATAAATTATTAAAATGGATAAATTTCAAAAGTTTTGTGCATATATATAACTCTTATTTGCATGACAATTTTATTGCAAAAGTGCTGGTGTAAAGAAACATACAGGCTGTAGGAAAGAGAAGACACTAGAGAGAAAAGAAAGAATGTTTATTCACTTCAAAACTGATACAAAAGCATGCTACTCTGCATGAAATACAACAATATATATATATATATATATATATATATAGAAAGCACACAAGAGAACACATGTTACTAACAGATTACACGATAAACTGAAAGTATAACAAAAAGAGGTTATTTAACAGCCCTTTAAACTTATGGTAGTATCATGATCAATCATAAGGTTTTGATTGAATTCCTGAAACATAGATTTAAAATGAGCATAACTTAAATTTAGGAGTTATTTGAAAATATATTTAAGTTTTATTTTTCTATTGCTACGTATTTTTCGGTTCCTACTTATATGTACTCGATTAATATTTGGTTATTGGCCATTTTAAGCTATTTAATAGCCTTTTCAAAATTTAATGAATATATAGAAGCAATAAAGATATTTTTGTGTTATTTTATTTTCTATCAAATTCAGACATTATGAACTTGAGAGTTGAGTGTTCGAGTGGAAAAGGAAAAAGTTTGCTTGAGTGTTTGAAGAAGAAAGAATGAGATGGTGAGTCTTGTAAACAATGTGTTTCTATCGTAGTTGACAAAGAAAGTCAACTATAATAACTAAAGTCTAATTTGTAGATGAAGACTTTTCTTGGATCCCAATATGGGATGTAGTTGAGAATGGACATCAAAAGCTAAAAGAAGATGAAGAGCATATGGTTGCCACCACTACAAGAAAATGATTAATTACCGAAGGTATATTTCCGACGGCCTTTTGGCCTTCGATAAAGTTGATTTTACCGAAGGACTTTAACCTTCGGTATTGGTATAGTGATTTTACCGAAAGAATGTGGCCGTCGGTGTAAGGTTCGACTTATGAAATTAGAATTTGAGATTTTTCTCTCCCATTCTCCCAAATTTTGTCTTCCTTAAAACTCTCCCGCACTCCCTCGCCTACCTCCCGCGCCACCCAGAGCCGCCTCCGTTCCTACCACCTCATCGTCCGGCTCCGCCGACCGCACCGTCGACTCTGCCGACCGCGCCGTCGACTCCGCCCTTGCCGCTGACCTCGGCCTTCGCCTCGTCCACGTCGACACCTCGCGCACCGAGGAGATCGCAGACACCGTCATGGGGATTGTCTTTGCTTACTTCTTCTTTCAAGGCTTTTGTCCTCTTCTCTCTTCTGGTAGATGCAACCTACTTATTACGCTGTTACATTTATCTTCCCTGAATCACGCTCCATACTTATTCTCACTAAAAAACATCACGGACTTTCCACGACCACCTCCACAAACCCACATGAAACCTCGTTTTTCTTTTCGTTATATTACTGTAATTTTCTTATATAATTATTAAAATGGATAAATTTCAAAAGTTTTGTGCATATATATAACTCTTATTTGCATGACAATTTTATTGCAAAAGTGCTGGTGTAAAGAAACATACAGGCTGTAGGAAGAGAAGACACTAGAGAGAAAAGAAAGAATGTTTATTCACTTCAAAACTGATACAAAAGCATGCTACTCTGCATGAAATACAACAATATATATATATATATATATATATATATGAAAGCACACAAGAGAACACATGTTACTAACAGATTACACGATAAACTGAAAGTATAACAAAAAGAGGTTATTTAACAGCCCTTTAAACTTATGGTAGTATCATGATCAATCATAAGGTTTTGATTGAATTCCTGAAACATAGATTTAAAATGAGCATAACTTAAATTTAGGAGTTATTTGAAAATATATTTAAGTTTTATTTTTCTATTGCTACGTATTTTTCGGTTCCTACTTATATGTACTCGATTAATATTTGGTTATTGGCCATTTTAAGCTATTTAATAGCCTTTTCAAAATTTAATGAATATATAGAAGCAATAAAGATATTTTTGTGTTATTTTATTTTCTATCAAATTCAGACATTATGAACTTGAGAGTTGAGTGTTCGAGTGGAAAAGGAAAAAGTTTGCTTGAGTGTTTGAAGAAGAAAGAATGAGATGGTGAGTCTTGTAAACAATGTGTTTCTATCGTAGTTGACAAAGAAAGTCAACTATAATAACTAAAGTCTAATTTGTAGATGAAGACTTTTCTTGGATCCCAATATGGGATGTAGTTGAGAATGGACATCAAAAGCTAAAAGAAGATGAAGAGCATATGGTTGCCACCACTACAAGAAAATGATTAATTACCGAAGGTATATTTCCGACGGCCTTTTGGCCTTCGATAAAGTTGATTTTACCGAAGGACTTTAACCTTCGGTATGGTATAGTGATTTTACCGAAAGAATTGTGGCCGTCGGTGTAAGGTTCGACTTATGAATTAGAATTTTGAGATTTTTCTCTCCCATTCTCCCAAATTTTGTCTTCCTTAAAACTCTCCCGCACTCCCTCGCCTACCTCCCGCGCCACCCAGAGCCGCCTCCGTTCCTACCACCTCATCGTCCGGCTCCGCCGACCGCACCGTCGACTCTGCCGACCGCGCCGTCGACTCCGCCCTTGCCGCTGACCTCGGCCTTCGCCTCGTCCACGTCGACACCTCGCGCACCGAGGAGATCGCAGACACCGTCATGGGGCTCTTCCTCGGCCTCCTCCGCCGCACGCACCTCCTCCCGCCACGCGCTCTCCGCCTCCGGCTGGCTCGGCTTCGTCCAGCCTCTCTGCCGTGGGATGCGCCGCTGTCGCGGCCTTGTTCTCGGCATCGTCGGAATCTCCGCGTCGGCTATCTTTGGCCACTTGCAGTTTGGCCTTCAAAACGAGCGTGTCTTATTTGATACTCAAGCAGTACGTATTTTTAGTCTTTCCCTTCATTGAGTGAAGATCCCTTCTTCAGTTGAAATTAAAATAGTAATCGATGTATCAATTGCTTTAATTTTGTGATCCACTTGTTGTTTGAGAGACTTGATTCTTATTGATATTGTAGCATTTGTTTCATGATTCTGAAGCATTTTTTTGTTTTTGTGGCACTGTAACTGGTGTGTAACAGTTTGGATTTTATGATTAGCATGTGCGTTAACATTGAAACGGGTGTGTAACATAATGAATTCAGTTTTTGATAGAATTAGAATAACATGTATGGATTTGTTGTTCAGTCCGTGCAAACAAGCATTTTTTTACTGGAATAGTGTTAGCTGGATAGTGTAGCGACCATTGATTTGATATGGTGTGTATTGCTTATTCACTGTAAACTACTGACTTGCTATTTATTTAATTTTATATTATGTAGTTAATTTGCTTTATAAGTGAACTATTGTCATATACTGTCATGTGTTGGTAAGTCATATGTATGATTTGTGTAGACCTGCACTGCAAAAGAAAGGACACCTTGTTGAAATTGTGCTTCCCAAATATGATTGTAAGCAATATGATCGTGTCTGCAACTTACGGGTATGCCATTTCATTAAGAAAATAATTGAACGTGTTGATAGTTTGGTAGTTGGTATCCTGCACTACTTGAAATAATGTGATTATTCATTCAGGCTTTGAGCGTGGAAATAGAATCATACTTTGATCACCAATTATACAAAAGTAAAATCTGGGTTGGCAGTGTTGTAGGTATTTTATTAGATATTTTCGTTTTAATTGATTGTCTTTACTGGTTCAGTAACTCACTTTGACTGTGCAGGTCTTCCTGTTATTATTATTGAGCCCCAGCATCCTTCTAAGTTCTTTTTGGAGAGGAAAATTTATGGCGAGCATGTGATTTCAGACGATTTTCATTTTTAGTCGTGCTGCTCTTGAGTTTCTTCTGCAAGCTGGCAAGAAGCCAAATATCATTCATTGCCATGATTGGCAGACAGCATTTATTGTATGAGCTGTATAGTTCTTTTCTAGCATATTTTTGCTCTTTCAGTTACTAATAGTATGGCATATCTGTTTCTTTGCTAGGCTCCTCTGTATGGGAGATATTTGTACATAAAGGATTAAATTCAGTAGGATATGCTTTACATGCCACACTTTGAGTCATGGGGACTGCAGCAGCTTCAGAGTTAGACTCATGTGGTCTTGTTAGCCAGAATCTAAACCAATCAGATAAAATGCAGGACAACTCAGCACGGGATAGAGTTAATTCTGTCAAGGTAAGGTCATAAAATATTACTGATCATATTATATATCTTCAATAAATATAGGTATAGAGATTTTCCTTTCATGATCAGGGTGGGATTGTTTTCTCAAACATTGTGACAACAGTTTCACCTACTTATGCCCAAGAAGTGAGAACTGCAGAGGTATGGTTATTTCTTGTCTAGTGCAGTATGTATTTTCTAGTTCTACCAAAATATCTTTTGTCTTTAATTAATTAATAATAATAAGGCAAAACAACACATGTTGGCACAAACATAGATGTCTCCACGTAATGTTTTTCAAGGGAGTTGGTTCTTGACCATGACATATTGAGTCTTTAGAATTTGATTTTGCAACTTCTGCGTCTCAAATCAACTTTAGAATTTGATTTGGGGAGATTTTATTTTTGTCATTTTTCAAGCCCAAGTAGCTTTCAAGTGCAGGTGTGCTCCACATAACAACTTAAGCTTTCTGTAAATTTTGTTCTCAACAAGAATAAAGGGGCTATGCTACTAATAATAATGTAGGATTCTAGCCTATGTCTTTGTATCATCATTTGGAATTTGTTATTATTACCTGTCTAACAGAAGGGAACTTAGTTAGCTGATCCAATTTGCAAATTGGCATGGTTTGGAAATTATTTGCATTTTAATTTTACGAGGATTTTTCTGTTTTTCTATTAATTAAGAAAACGATAAGAGAACAACAATTCATTCTCAACGTTATTTAACTTTAAACTAGTGCTCTTCCTACATTTTTTTTCAGTCTTAAAAAGTTGTC